TTTCAGTGTTCCCGAAACAATTTCCTGGGGCTTTGTAAGGAAAGAGGACTAGTTTGCCCTGTATGGGGGCAACTGACAGCACACAGATCACCCTGAAGTTTTTGTGCTGTGGCACCAGTTCTTCTTGGGAAGAGAAACATGTACCAGCAAGCTGCTTCTAGAAACTGGCAGCACATGTGGGGCACCAAGAAGGAGGAGACAGAAGTGGGGGAAATGAATCCTTTCCCGACAGTATCAGTTATTCAGTGCCCGGACACAGCGCGTGGGATAGCAGCGTAACGCGTCATGTCTCGCTACTCACAAACTGACACTACACTGGAAACAGGGCACCATGGAAAAGCAGCAAAAGCATTACACGGACACAACGTTTCTCCGAACGTTTTCCCATACTGCTTGGGGGATTTTAAACTGTAGACTTCATTAGTTACTAGCACGCTGAATATCAACACTGGTTTTCCATGTTTCCTAACTTCCCTCTCAGAGCAGCCTCAGTAGGACTTTTAAGTTCCATCTCATATGCTTCCCAGAGTATTTTGATTTCTCCGCTTGTGTAAGACCACGTCCTCACCACAGACTTCTGAACTGTGCCCCAACTCTCTCCAGCACAGGAGGAGAGTGCAAAAATGGCCCGATCTAGAAGATAAAAAGGTGAGGGTTCACTGTCTGCAGACACAGGGCTGTGGGGAGGGGAGAGCTCAGTTTTCTGTTACTGAGCAACCTGTCACCTTTCTGCAAGGAGCAGAAAGCCCACACAGGAACAAAAACCCACACGTACAGAACCCACAGAGAAAACCAACTTAGCTAAGACAGAGGTAGCTGCTGAGGCAGAGCTCCAGAGAGACACCGCTTACATAAAACATGAACGAGAAAGGCTGGCGACAGTACGAGCCCAGTAAGGCACAGAAAGCCTGGCAAAGGAAAGGTGCTCTCTCTTCCTTGCAGATCTGGGTTACAGAAGCTGCGGCTCCCGCGACCGCATCGTTATTCAGTTCTTGATCAGGTCGGTTGCACAAAGCCTCATTAAATATTTACAGCTGACATTTTTCTGACTCGTGACCACCAGGATCAAGATAACCGTCCATTTTCGACGGCCACGCTGTTCAAACACGCTTGAAAAGTCAACCAGCAAGAAACGAACAGGGCAACAATTGCTAGGGTTTTTGAGCAGCTGTAAGTGAAAAAGTCTTACCCCTTGAAAGCCACAGAAAACGGCCATAGTTGGAGAGAGTTTCTTCACCTACTCAGCACCCCTTAACGGAGTAGAAGGCACAAACTTCAGGACTGAGAACACAAAGAACGACCAAGCAGTCAGTTTCTAATGACAGCAGTTGCTGGTGATCATTCTGAAATGGCAAAGTATGGTAACGAGCTGATTTTTTATCTAGGACATACAGCAACCAGCAGAAGAATCCTTACGCACAGGAACACACGTTTCCCACAAGAGGAAGTCGAAGTAGAAACCCCGTGAAACGTGATTTCTGTGCGTGTCACATGCAAGCACGTCACTCACACTACCCCGTACCTGGGAATGCACTGACAACGCAAATTCCTCGTGTAGATGAGAGCTACATCGCACTGCTGTGGGGAGCAGCTCATCATCGCCAAGATGAAACAGCCACACAGTCTCAGTTTGTATGTACAAATGCTCAACTACTGGGCAAAAAGGCCTTCACCACAGAAACTTCGGTTAAAAATAGGTGTGCTTGAGAATAGTGAAGTTTTCTTCCCACAGTACCAGCATTATACTCCTTTTCTGACACGACTCGTGAAAGAAGTGGGATCACCAGCACTGGAGCAAGCCTGCTACTAAAACCACATAATTGGTACACCAGACCATTCCTGCCTCCCGTATCCAGGGACTTCTCAAAGCACCAATTCAGCTTTCTTGCCTTTGCAAATCACGGCCTCTCCGCATGGGCTTTCACCAGGCTCCCGCAGGCACCGCCAGTTTTCACAGCGGAGCTGGGACAGGGCTCAAACAGCTACCCCCTTCCTGCAGGGCACCGTGCAGTCACCAGGATGCAAGTCTTGGCTGGGTCAGAACCCAAGCCAGGTACCTGCTGGTAAGAAGCTCCAGTAATTCAGTACCAGTCATTCTTAATTCGTCCTGTTACTCTCCACAGAAACTGAGTTGTGAAAAAGCAGCATAAGATGCTTCAGCCAAAAGAAATCAAGTCCCACCTCACTGAAATAGCCTTCTCATTACCTTCCACGTTATATGAGGTCAGGGAAGTTGCATCTGTGTTCCCACAGACAGGCCATGCTTCAGTTAGAATCGAAGATCTTCTTTGTTGTGTGACACAGGCACAAGGCCCACGGTGTCTTCCTCAAACCAGAGCACTACAGCCACAGAAAGCAGCACCAGAGAAGAGGGTTTCCTACACCTTACACCAGACTGACAAGTAACTGCGTGGCACTGAGCTGTGTTGCAGACCATAATAGCTCTGTCTCAGGGCTGTTAAGAAACACTCCAAATATTTGGTTAAAGTGGTCTGTCATTTTAAAAAGACATCATCTCTACTTTTTGTCTCTTCCAACCTATCTCCATAAATACCTAAAACAAATTCCTTGTTAAGGTCAAACACTTCTAACTGTCCCGGTTGATGCAAGCGATCGGGGTTTGCCTAATCCCCTTTACACAAGAGGCTAAGGCAGGCAAGCAGAAGCTGAATGCCATTTACCAAGGGACTGCGTGGGAAAAACCCTCTGCGCCGAGCCACAAATGAGGTGTCACTGCATTTAGCTCAGTGGATACCACTTCCATTCTTCAGCATTTCCTCCTAGAGGAAGTACCCAGCCACAAAAAAACCCACACAACCCAGATGCTGTAGGAATGCTGATTTCACACCTGATTTTCTCATAACCAAAAAGCCTTTGGTACAGATTAAGGCCGGCCCATAGCAGCAAAGCAGCTGTAAGAGGTGAGCCACAACACGCAGCAAAAAGAAGCAGAGGCAAAGGTAACGGGGGTCATTGCTCACGCAGAGCCACTCGGGAAAGGCTAGAACTGTGATGAACACGAGATGCACACTGCTTTTCCAACAGGACGCTCGCAAAGTAGGTGTCGTCTTTGCGGCAGGTCAGTCTTCAAAAGTGTACCAGCAACTCTTAGAGCCACCAGAAAAGCAAGAAGAGTTGAAGTTCTCAAGCAAATCATTTTAGTGGTGGCACCTAAGCCTGCTCCGTGTGCTACTCAGCTCTGTCCCCATCCTGAGCCAGGGGCAGGGATGGGCACGAGCCACTCAGCAGCCCTGGCCGCTGCCTGAGCAGCGGTGAGGGGATCATCACTGCCACTTCTACTCCGGGTTCGGAGCAGAAAGCCAGTTCCCAAGCTCCAAAGCAGACGCTGTCATAAGCCAGGAGGCAAGCACAGAATGAACCAAGGCTTAGCACATTCACTCGGGGCCCCTCAGGTAAAATGACAGCTTCAGATAAACCCCAGCTAACAGGAAAATTCTGTGTGGACCAAATACAAAGCGTAGTTGGATCCCAACTATAGAAGTAGATGCACCGTCAGAACTCCTGCCAGCCATACAGCAGGCTCGGGTTGAACAAGCAGTTAAAGGACTTAAAAAAGGATGCCACAGCCTCCCGTGGCTAACCACCCAGGTAAGTGGCTAAGCATTTCCAGTACATCCGGCACCTCAGTACGCCAGCCACAGGGGCTGAGACGCTAGTTAAGACATTCAAGCAGAACTAAACGCTGAACGGAGAGAACTGAAGGTTTTGGTAGTACTGACAGTGCTCAAACTGAGCTAAACAAGATCATCCTTCTGTGGAGGGGTGGGGAGAGCTGCAGAAACTGCGAGCAAGCATGTTCCATTCTGGGCTCAGAAAGGGGCGAGACACAAAATCCCACCAGCTCTGAAGGGATGAATTTGTCACCTCTGAAGTTTCTCTCCCCCTGTTCACATCATGCTGTGTTACAGTGGGAATTTTACCACCTCTCCTTGTAACGGAATAAGCCACCTTTAACTTGTGCGTTTTTTTTACTACAAACACGAAGAATGCTCAGTTTAACAATAAAACAGAGTTAAAGCAAAATAAACGCCACTCCCACATTAACTGGGAATCCTGGACCAGGAGTGTTCTTCCCACGCCATTGCAGACCTCTGGAGAGGAACAGCCCTAGCAGCCATTCCTCCAGCTCCTCCCGATGGCAGACGGTGGGCATGGCACCCGGGCAAGGTACTGTGAGGAGAGTTGATGCCATCGTGCAGTCCTATGCCAAATGCCATAACGAAGACCTAAGTGCATGACCAAAGCAGGGTCTGGTGAAAGATGAGACCAAGTCTATGATCAGTGGAGGGGCAGACACAAACGCGCATGCAGCCTTCTCCCGTCTGTGCCAAAATCCGCAAGCCAAGCACCAGCGGAGGCCAACGGCACCAGTTTAAGTTTACTAATCCACATAGATAAGGAAAAATAGAGCATGACACCTACAGAACAGAGGAGGGATGTTCACAGGAAGAGGTGATAAGGCTGTCAGGCCTCACAAGACAGATTGCTAAAGCAGCCAAGGAGGTAAGGTCTGAAAAAGGCTGAACGTGCAGAGAGCAACTTCCATTCACCAGCTCAAGAATTCACATAGCTGCTGGGGTTACCTTTTGTCCTAAAGGCAAAAGAAAAAAGAATCATAGAATCATAGAATGGTTTGGGTTGGAAGGGACCTTAAAGACGATCCAGTTCCAACCCCCCTGCCATGGGCAGGGACACCTTCCACTAGACCAGGTTGCTCAAAGCCTCATCCAGCCTGGCCTTGAACCCTTCCAGGGATGGGGCATCCACAGCTTCTCTGGGCAACCTGTGCCAGTGCCTCACCACCCTCCCCGTGAAGAATTTCTTCCTGATACCCAGTCTAAACCTCCCCACTTTCAATTTAAACCCATTACCCCTTGTCCCTACACTACAGGCCCTTGCAAAAAAAAAAAAATCTCAGCGATGACGAACAGAGAGAAAGCACACAGGAACACAAACCAAAACACACAGAGATACCTTAGAGGTATCAAACGTTTTATTTATTTTTGCAAGAAACTACAGCAATATACACCATTACAGAGTTGTGAAGCACTGTAAAACAAAAGGAATGAAATGGCCTGGGTCCAAGCACTGACAACTTCACACCTTTTCTTTCATACCACCATCACTCAGAAAAATCACATTATCTGAAAAGAAATAAACAAAAATTAATCTTCAGGATAGTTTTGCCCTGTAACAAGCTTGCACACCCACAAAGACAACTGACTTCTGTTAAAATAAGCTGCAGAGACGTGCACTTTGACACACAACAGTTCATAACAAAAGTGTCTGATACAGGGTTCTTGTTCTACCTCCCTAGAAAGCTGACCATTCAAAGTGACCATATATGCTATGAAACAAGCGTGGTAAACCTGCTGAAAGGCTGCTGAATGGTCAAAGATACCAGAAACGTGTTAAAATAACAGTTTAATTATTTGACCATGATCTCCATCAGCTACAGCTTATTTCCTTTTTGTTTTGTCATCTTCAGTGCAGACTGCCATGTCAGCCTCCTGTGGGACTACAGGAAACTCCTATTTCATCCAGCCTCAGTCATTCTGGGGATACTGAACATGAAGAAGAAACCAGTAGAATAAATACTACCTAGAAAAAAAGACTTGATTCTCCCCTCCAGCTGTCCATAAACAGCATCCTACAGCACTGCTAGCTGAACTGTTCATGTGAAAGTTTGATTGCTATTGTTTGGATGTTCCTGCTCTGCAGCCTCTTTAAGAATTATTGATTTTTTCCTTCTTCCTCTGGCCCTTTTTTTTTTATACACACTTGTGTAACAGAAATGTTTGCTCTGCTACCTGGTTATTTCAGCCTTTCCTCAAGAGCCACAAGACAGCAGCTCTACACAGAGACCTAGGCTGCTCACGCTGTTTAAAGGCTGAAGGAAAAAGCAGTTTCACAGTTCTCTTCATTGTGCCTACCCAAGGGACAAGTCTAGCCCCTACTCATTCTGTGCTCTTCTTACCACAACTGGCTACCAGACTGTGGTCTTTCTAAGTTCTCCATCAAGATATCCCCACATAAAGCACCTTTCACAGAGGTCCCTGAAGTTGGCAAAGCCTTCAGTCTTAAACAGGAAGATAAAATGCCCTGCCAAACTGAGACTATGTGACTAAAACAAACCCTACATTGCTCAGAAAAGGAATCTGCCTGACCTGCAGCACAAACACCCCCTATCTACCTGCTGCACCAACTGGTGAGCAAGTGATGGAAGAGTTCGCAACTGTACGCTCTCATTTCTGCGGGACAAGGCTGTGCTCGCTCTCAAAATCCCTGCGTGTGCATTCTGAGGACGAAGACAAACCAAGCTCCATTTCCAAGGTCACCCTCTCCCTTTTAAAGGCCAAGGCAGGCATCGGTATGTTGTTCCTTACCTGCTATAATTGTTGTGGCCTGCCGCCTCACGTTGTTTTTATCCGTATATTCACCATAGTCTATCTTCCCCTCAACGTAGAGTCGAGCGCTGGAAAAACGAAGAATTTGGTCTTGGTTAGAGATCTGTATGGTTGTTTTCCCCTCCATATTTCTTTCTGAGTACACAGATTTCTCCCTCACTTGTTTGGAGAAGGTTTGGTAATTTATTATGGCACTTCTATCTTAGTACAGCTCCTGGTCACTGTAAATTATTATGGCAATCGATTATTAAGGCCTTAAATCTTTGGCCACGTTTGTTAGTCACTTACCCCTTCTTCACATACTGGTACGTGACATCCCTGAGGCCCGGCCTGAAGACTGAGATTCTGTGCCATGTCGTCTTCTGACTGATATCGCCTAAGTTACACACAAATAACAGAGTTGGACGCCGAATCCTCTTTTTGACACACGCCTCAGAAATTAGTTTCAACATGGTGTTCTCAAATTACGAGGAGTGATAGGAAACTAGCACTCGATCTCCCACTCCATACTGGAACTCAGAGTTCCACACATCTGTACCCAAATGATGGTGTTGTGCAGAACCACGGCACAAGCCAAGACATCAGGCTTCCCAGAAGCCAGTGCTCCTAAGTACTTTCCCCTTCACGCACTCAGCAGTGAACAAAAGTTAGAGTAAAGAGACATCTGTAGCTGCAGACTGATTGAAAAACCAAAAGGGAAAACCTATAATTCATTTTCTTCCCCTGTTCTTGGAATACAAATTAGAGTATGGAACCTGCTACACCTCTGGCAACCCCACCAGTGAAAACCTGCCAACTCCATGCTCTTTCCTCCAGTGGAAGGTCAGTGTGCAGATCTTTACTCCGTACGTGCTGCTGGGGAGCAGCAAGAGACACACAAGTACCCCAGCATCTCTGCTGACCTCAAGGGAATTTCCCTGCTCCTGAGAGATTTACACAGTAGCCTGAAGACAAAGCCTGGTGCTACTGACTGTTCAAACACGACCTCAGAAGACGGTAGAAGCACGCTGCTCATCACAGACTCACCTCCCTGCGTTGCCTCACTTTCTCCTGTTCGCCACATCTCATTCGTTGCAAGAGAAAATATGGTAACAGGATTTTTTCCTTCCACTTGCCTCATGATAGGGTCCTGGCCAACCCGGCCAAGGAGCTGGACACGATTCATAGCTGAAACGCAAGAGAGTAAGTACATACGCAGGTGAGTTAGGGTTCTGCTAACCATGGCAAGTCACAAGGCAGCAGCTCTTATCAAGGGCCAGAACAATGACTTTCTGCACCTCCCAACCATTTTTCAAGCTCTTGTGACTTTTGGCTTATTAAGGCCCTGCAGATAGTTTAATGTGCCTGTACTATCATTACCACCACTGAATAAGCTCATTTAGAAAGTTATAGGCTCTTCATTCTTTCTGTTCCTTTGTCATCTTTTTCACAGACACATCCATGTGTCAATTGAGACTATTTTGTAGTTACTTATCTTGACTTCGATTTTTTTCATTATGACAAAAACATGGCTTCGCCTTGTTTTACCCTTAAAACACCACATTGCACTATTACACCCCAGCCTCTGAATCAGAGGGTCACTAGTCTTTACACAGGCACCAGGACTAGGTGGACACAATTTGTTCCTTCTCCTCGTGGAAAGACAAGTGGAGGAGGTCAGGGGAGCATCACTCCTGCACAATGAGCATGTGAACTGATGGTAAAGTCTGAGGCATACGCCTGGAGCAAATCATGCTGGGGCAGCAGCATCCAAACAAGTCCCCCAGGCACACAGGAATCTGAGAAACAAGCACGTAAGACACCTAAAGGCAGGTATCCAAAACCGAGACAACAGCATAACCGATTCGCTGCCAACCGTACAGCATGACCACCTGCCTTCTACAGGCTGTACCCCACGTCAGGGCTTTCTTTTCCCCCCTCAAGGGCTACTCAACTTGACAGAGACCACATAGGGACGGTAGGTCCTGAATGCAGCAGCTAAGAACGTGTTGTTTTAAACAGACTCCTAAGTAGCTTCCTATCTGTTCCTCTCCTGCCATATTACAGCATTCTAAAACTGAGATAAAAGCCACAAATAGTAACAGCTAAATTTCACCTCAGGAGCTACTTACATCTTTCGAGTACCAATGAGCCAGCCATATCAGAGTCATGTCTTACAAACTGGCGAAGCACCTGAAGGAACAATCAGATGTTAGTTTCCAAGATATGAAGTATGAACAGTATTCACATGCCTTTATACCTCATTTCCTCAACACTCACAGAAGTTTTCCAAGTATATTCTTTTCCTGGGACTTACAGGGGGACTAAAGGAAGAAATCTGTTCAGCTAGATGAAGCCAATAAGTTGTCAAAAAATACTTAAACTGGGGTTAAAAAAGCTGCCTAGGAAAAAGCACAGCCTAAAGGTACATCTCAGCAATTGTTCCTGGGACATGCAATAACTATTGTTTTTCTGCAAACGTGATAGGAGGGGACAGGCAGGTTTGAAGCGGAAGGGCTGTTTAGTTAGCTGGGCTTCAGTTTCTGGAAACAAAACCTGAATGCTCGTGTACCCAAAACTCACATCCATCCACCACCACAAACATACTGTCAGTATGATGCACTGACAACCCCAGCAAGCAGCAAGTTGAGGCCACAAGAGCCTGAGCACTGCAGCTAAACACCAGCAAGAGAAAGAAAAGGGGCTGACAACACTGGCAAATACCATGTCACAGAAGAAAGAAAAGCAAAGCCCAGGAGCACCTTGGCAAGAGGCCCACGTGCCGGAGCTGGAAGAGAAGCTCGTCTCCTTTAAGAAGTGGTTACAAAACTTCAAGGGAGGCAAGACTGACAGTCCTGCATTGAACAGAGCAAACGCATCTTGCGGAACAAAAGGTGTTTTGTGGGTCTGTAGGGTTCACCGACACATGTACAAGTCGCCCGGGACTCACTCCATGCGTGAAGTGGAGCTTCTCACACATCACATTTTCCAGTAGCTGAGCAATTAAGATCCAGCATTTGTCTTCTTGCGGAGTACAAACGCACACAGAACTTCCCTCTCTTCTTGACGGGCAGCGCCACTAATGTTCGGCGAAGCGCCGGCAATCCCCCCGGTGCCCCGAGAGGCCGGCGGGAGAGCTGCCCCGAGGGCGGCGGAAGCACCCG